CACACAACATACATCATTCCTCTAGTTCTTTAATGCTTTCTCCCCGCCACTATCATGACCCCAGTTCTACCTTACAAATCTGGCTAAACAGGAGAATGTACATTGGTACAGATAAGAGCTCTTGACAAATGGATTCCAGGACAGATAACCCCCTCAGGTACAGTAATGGGAGTAATGGGAGTACCATGAGGGTAGGGGAAAAGTGGGAGGGGGGAGAAGTGGGGGAGAAACAGGGAACCTACTACAATGATTGACGTATATTCCCCCCCTCTCAGGGACAAACAATGGAAACATGGGTAAAGTGAGACAGTGGACAGTATAAGATATGAAAATAATAATAATAATAATTTATAATTTATCAGGGGTTCACAAGGGTGGGGAGGGAGGGTCAAAAGAGGAGCTGATACCAAGGGCTGAAGCAGAAAGGAAGTTTTTTGAAAATGATGATGGCCACATAAGTACAAATGTGTTTGGTACAATTGATGTCTGGATTGTTATAAGACCTCTAAGAGCCGCCAGTAAAATGATTTATTAATAAGAAAAAAATTAAAAGCAGGTGGTGAGCCATGGTTTCTTAACCCACAAACTACACAGGTCAAACTAAGAACTAAGACAGACTCTTGGCTTGGATCTATAGACAATTGAATGATTCTAGACAATCTGTGAGCTTTGGGTGGATTTCATTTCTATTTTCCACTAGCCTCTAACTGTAATATCATCTCCCCGTCAATTATCAATGCAATCCATAAATCAAAGTGGTATCACCTGTCCTTGTGTGCTTATCAATAGAAGCCACAGTTTTCTGTTATGTTACAGTAGCTGCAAGTATAAGAAGGTATCATTTATACATAACACTACATCACTACTGCAGACTAGCTACTGCCTCTCATAATTTGATGTTCACAAAGAAGTATTGCATTACTATAGATGTGCTGTTTCTGTCACATTTGAAATACTTTTCTAACTGTATTTCAGTATTTGCTTTATTCTATAATTTTATATATTTTAGTTTGTGCATTTAAAAGCACAAGAGAGGCCCAGCCGCTTCGCCAGCTGCCAAAGGGTCCCTGGAATAAATTAGAGTAAGAATCTCTGGTCTGGAGAGATTGTCAGGATTCTAGGATCTGATTGTCCAAGTTTAATCTAGCTAAAGGTAATAGGCTGCAGACGGTTGGATCGAAACTCTTGATGGAAATTTCCAATAAAGCAAGCGGCAAGAGTCCCTTCCAAAATCAGGTTGGGAAAATGCTTGCAGATGGAAAATTACAGTCCTTTGTAGGTCCAGTTCCGATAAGGAGAATTCTTCCCTGCTCCCATGTCCCCTCTCTCCCCCTATGTTAGAGTTTTGCACACTGGGGAAGAAAACCTCGGCACCCTAGACTCCCTGGCACAAGTTTGTCTGAGAGGTTCAAGTTTAGGAGCCACAGCCAGTAGTGATACAAAGGACCCTGGACCACAGACTGGTCAAAGAACAGAAAAAGCATATGGGGAAGAGTGTGAGGATTCCGGGCCCACTGTAGTAACTTATTTCAGGGGCCAGTGGGGTAAATGAGAGTGGAAGCCTCATAAAATTGTGTCATTTCTTGATCTGTTCTTCCTTTCAGCTCAATGAGTCACTGCTAAAAAAAACCTCAGACTGGTTCATATGAGTCCTGATTTTTATGTGATTTTCTCACTCACGTGTGTCCTGTTACCTCAGAGGATCTGAGAGTCACCACTGTTTCCAGATGGACGCCATAGAACCCTTGGGTTCTGGGCCAGAGGCGAGGCCTTGATTGGGCTATAGGGCTGGGAAGTGTGGGTGGCTTCTCAGGAGAAGAGGGAAGATGTCCAGAACGAAGGCCTGGCTTTCTCAGCCTCCACATCAATAGGATACTTGGCCTACATCAAGACCCCTAGCTTCTCTGCTGGACAGAACCCCTGTCAGAGTGGCTCTATCAGCTTAAGGGCGAACACATCCACGGAGGGTCATCTTGAGCATGCCATCCAAGGAAGCGCACCTTCTGCTCCTCAGGGGTCCGTGATGGACTGTATGCGTTTTCCCCAACTTCTTCTTGGGTCAGCCACCTGCTCATCTGTGAATGATTTCACAAACGTGATGGAATGAGCAGACGAGGTAAAAGAAGATGCCACACAGATCAGACCCACTCGTTTCTTATGGATAGCACTGGCTGCCCGCTGGATGCTGGGTAGGAAGTGGAAACTCTGGCCAACTATGGACCTAACAGGAAGCTTCTCGGTGATGACACCACCAAATTCTGTTTGGCACCATTGGCACCCTCTTAGAGGAAGATCTATGTGTCACTACATGCAATGGTCAATCTTCTCTTTCTTAATCATGAAGCCTGAAGGAGTTGAAGATCTACAGAGATGTAGGCCAGGGACAGCGGGCAGAACCAGCCATCGATGGCTGCCCTTCTCTCTGAGACCTTGGGAACCTTAAGAGTTTCACATACAAAAGACTCCAACTATAACTAAAATAGGAATATATGTTTTCAGCCTTCAAAGACAGACTGTATGTAGGGTACACACCAATTTTACAAAGGGAAATTGAAAGTGCTTCTCATCAGATATAGACTAAAAATAACTCTAGGGTAGCTTCTCATTGGTTCTTTAAATAAATGCTTGTCAAGCATGCACCATGTGCAGGCAGTTTTGTGTCCTGGGGATACAATAATGAAAATGTGCTTCTTGTCACAGAACTTCTGTACGGAAGGGGTGGAGGCACGAAGCCCGAGCAAGCAAGTAAAGCTGAGATCACGGTGGGGTGAGTGGGTGGGCTATTTCTAATAAGGTAACATAGGAGGAATTTCAGAGGAGGCGATATTTGGGCAGAGACCTCAATGAGGTTACAGTGGATCAGGGAAAGGTCTGGGGGGAACACATGCTGCCAGAAGAAATAGCAAGTGAAAAGTCTAGTCCTACACCATCTTCATGTCTAGAAAGGATCATATAAGGCTGTTAACCAGAAGGCAAGAATTGTTGGGTGCTAACGGACTGTCAACCACAAAGTTAGTGGTTCAACCCACCGGTCACTCCTAGGGAAAAAGATGAGGCTTTCTACTCCTGTAAATATTTACTGTCCCGGAAACCTTATATAGGGTCACTATGAGTCGGAACCAACTTGATGGAAGTAAATTTGGAGTTAGTGAGCTCTTGATGGTTGGCTACCAAGCACTCTTATCTAATCGATCAGCTTGTTATACCAGACTGTGTTCAATATATACCCAAATTCTATCATTAAAACCGACCTCCACAATGACGGCTTTGGCTCACCCTATGGGAACTCCCTGCTCCATCTCTCTTCTCTCTGCAGTGTATGCTCCCTATCGACGTCAGATTGGTCTTTAAAAAACGGTAATTAGTATCATGTTGTTCCTTGGCCCTAAATCCTCCAGTGGATTTTCATTATACAGAGAATAAAATGTGAATCCCTTACTGGGACCTAGACGGCTCTCTATGTTCTAGTCCGTGTCTGCCTACCTGATCTTCATTCCTCCCATCTCTCCTTGTCTCCCTAGGTTCCAGCTACACTAGCCTTCGTGTTGTTCCTGAAACATGCCAAACCAACAGAGCACATCCCAGGGAGGAGTGCCTGCCTCACAGGTGGATGACTGAGCCCCGGGAGGAGAAATGGAGACATTAAGTATGGGCAACTCTTGCAACAGATTTTGCTCTAAAGAGGAATAAAGTAAGGAACCGTAGCTAGAGGGGAAAGTGGTGTCAAGGGAGAGCTATAAACTTAAATAATTGTTATTATAGCATGTTTGGGGTCTCTGGGTGGGTCACCAGAAGTCAGAAGCCACTTGAAGGTCACCATCCATGGCAGTGGCAACATAGCACATTTATATGCTAGTGGGAATGAGTCTTGGGTAGACAGGCAAGGGATAGATAACATGGAACAGGGGATTATAATCGGTGGGTCCACGGTCTGAGTGACGGAGAAGGAATGGCCTTAGGTGCACAAGGGAGGAAGATGGCATTAGGCAGGAGCTTGGTCCTCTATCTAGTCTCACATGAGGGAAGGCTGAGCACTAGGGTTCCGTGCACACAGTTTGATGAATTCATCATCATCAGAAGAGGGAGATGCAGGTATCGTTTGTGTACAAATGCAGTGCCGTGGAACCCAGGAGAAAGTGACGAGTTTCAGAGATCAGTAATATTATCCTGCCTGAAAACCACACGAACAACAAACACCAAACAAGCTCATCAATGTGAAGAAAAAAACAAAAAGACCAGCACCAGTAGAAAGCGATACCCAGGAGGTCTTATAGTAATATATTTAGTTCTTAAGTGTAGGTAAGTAGCCTAAACTTTGTTTGGCCTTGTACCCTCGGTTTGGATTTTCCCTTCGGAAGCCACCGCAGACGTGAACGTAACTTTGCTGTGAGGTTTTGCGTTGTGGCATTCACCGCCAGGGAGCTGACTCATCTGCTGTGCTGCTTCTGTGGCCATTCCCTTGCATCTGTAGTACGGGGACATTGACAAGAAGGCTTATTTGGGGACGGTTTGCTTTTCTTCCAAGGGGTGGCGCAACGTTATGATTTACACTCCAGCGAATATAAAAAACCCTGTGCTGTTGGGTGCCTTCCGTGTGTAGGCAACGCAGAAGACACATGTGACTTTTGTGGGTAGGATCACCCTCATTTTATCAGGCAAGAAGCCTATGGAGAGGGGAAGGTGTAAGCACACGTCCAAATTCACACCCAGGTAGAAATGTTGGCATTTGTGGTCAGAGTGGAACGGGTACTAGGACTAGCATCCAGGGAGGAGGTAAAGGCCCACTAGTGGGAGCTGCTCCCTCTCCTTACCGAAGCCTCCTTGGTGTTGGTCTCCTCTGAGGCTGACTTGGCGACCTTCTGGATGATGGGGGCGATGTTGGTGGGCCCGTAGAGTTGTAGCTTAGGCAGGCAGCTCTGGTAGGCTTCCACAACTCCTTGAATTCCTAAGATGAAATTGGCCAAGATAAACAGTCTCCTTAAATATTATCTGTCCTCAGACACACATGAAAAACAAAGCATTAGCTCCCCCAAATAGCCCTTAACACCATCACATTATGTTCTTGAGATAAATAGAACATGTCACATGGCTGGTCTGGTCGACTCCTCTTCCACTGAAATGATTTTCCCCTTTCAAGTCTCAAGCCAGATGTGGCCATTTCTACAAACGTTCCTTGAATCTACCTCACATGTAAGACTTCCTTAGATCTGCAGCCCAGTGCTCCTTGCCAGCCAGTCATTTCGGGCTCAGCTCGCCCCTGGAGGACAGAGTAGAACTGCCCCACTGGGCTGCCAAGGCTGCCATCTTAATAGAAGTCCACTGCCAAGTCTTTCTCCTAAGCAGTGGCTGCTGGGCTTGAACTGCTGCGGACCTTTTAGTTAACAGCCAAGTACTTATCCACTGTGTCACCAAGGCTTCTCAGATCCTCAGAGAATCATGAAACAAGCGTTAAATCCATTTTTCAGGCAAAAAAGTTGAGACTCAGAGAGGTTAAGAAATCTGCTCCAGGTCATACAGCAAATGACTGATTGGCTCAGGAGTCAAGCTGAGGTCTGTCTGGTTGTAAGAGCTGTGTTCTCAGCCACTGGGCCAGAATGCTTGATGATCCCCTGGTTTTCACAGGATCGTAATGAATCTACTCTACTATATATCACACTGAGAGTTAAATGTGTACATGGCCAGCCCCCCAGATGGTAAACTCCTTGAGAGCCAGACTCATGACTTACTCAATGTTGCTTTGCCCATGTGTCTGCTCATAGCAGATGCACTACGGGTGTGATGATTGAGCCAAGTGGCCGAAACAGCCATCTACTGGAATGGTGGTCTCGATGTGTGACATTCCTGATCGTGGCCAATGCCTCACTTAGAGTGGGGTAAAGAATACTGGGGGGGGGTGGGGGGGGGTGCTTGGAGGGCAGGCCCTGGCCCGTGTAGCTTTCCCCAGCATTTGATGCATCTAGACTACACATTTCATATGAAATAAAATCATCTTACAACATTAGTTATACTACAAATTATTTTTATTCAAATGGCTGCTATTTTTGCTACCTTTGCCATCCCCGTTAGACCTCATCCTTCCATCCCTCTCTATCCTGACACAGCACAAGGGTCCTGTTTTGGGCCAGAAGGGTCTGCACAAAGCCCTCCTGAGGTTGGTCCCATACCCACCATGCCGGCAAACCATTTTGGCATTCTGGATAAGCAAGTTCAGTTCTATTCTGTCCTGACATCCATCCCCGACCTCATGGAGGATGCTGAACCTGTTTGGCTCAGCCCCCAATTCCATCCTTCAAAAGACGGATGCCACGTCATTATGGGGCCTGGTGCTGGACTTCAGTGACCCTGAGTGAAGGTTCTTTATCCTTGAGTGGTTGCCTAAGACAAGCCAGTTTGATTTCCCTTTCGAAAACAGCAGGCTGATGCAATCTAAGAGGATACAACAGATGTATCTTATTTTGTATGTATTTTCTGTTGCTTTGGTAGAAGAAGGTCTTATAGTTTCAGAGTGAAGGTGGTTTGGAAGGAGAGAAGTCTAAGTCATAATGAATTGGGGTGAGGGTTTGTGAGGGGAATCATGGCTGAAGGGAGATGGGATCTTGAGGCTGCTGTGCACAGATTCAGCTCTATGGATAGCATATCCTTGGATATTAGGTGTCAAGTTTGTGAAAGAAACTGCAAGATGCCCTGCACCCCCCACTGGGTCTGCCTACAGCCAGCTCCATCCTTCATGAGGAGGAGGGAGAAGAGAACTGGGGTGCTTTCTTCCTCCTTCACTGTAAGTATGTCTTAAGGTTTTCAATAACAAATACGCTGGGCTCAACTTGAGTAGAAATCAGGAAAAGTAATTGTAGAATACAATGTATCATCACTATAATCGCCATAGCAGCAGCATCGTCATTCTGTGGGACTATGTTAGGAAGAGACTTCTGCCTGGAAAAGAAGAACAGAGACCTGAGTCTTTCAAAAGGCTCTGCCTGGAGCAAAGCCAAGAAGCCATTTGCTCAAGGTCATTGAGGCCAGATCTTTTGACAACATGTTGAAAGGTCCCAATGATGTTCCTGCTTCCTCATCTCCTTACACTTGAACCGAGAGGGAATTGTGAAAAAAAATCAATATTTGATGGAATACTTGGACAGCAGAAGCACAAAAAAAAAGGTGGGGTGGGGATCTGGTGTCCACTGCCCATCAAGTAAACTAACTCCCCATGTGCGTTTGGCCAGAAGGACCCAGGACTGAAATCAGTGTTCTTGTTATGAGCTCAAGACCTCTTCTACACTGTGTTTTTTCCAGCTCTTATTTTTCGGCTCTGTTACTAAAGTTTTTCTCTGCTGCCTTCAGAGTTTCTTTGGCCTCCGGATAGCCAGCGGCTTTGCTTTGGGCCATCTTTACGGATGTGCTGTGTCAGAGGAGACAAACCCAAACGGGAAAGGTGTGGCCGCAAGGGCTGCCAAGACTCGCGCGTTCTCTTCAGTTGGGTTTACCTGCACATTCCGGGTTGTCTTCGTTAAAGTTGATCGCAAAGTCATGAGAAACCTAGACACCAAGGAAAATGTTTTCAAAGGGAGAAAGGAGAGTTACAACTTTCGTACCGTCAGGAGGCACTGAGGTTTAGAGTGTGCAAACAAACACCTATTGCACTCATTATGTGGTAGGCGCCAGGAGCCATGTTAAGCCTTGACACAATCAACCTGAGATGGAAGGTGAATTCTGAGCTCCCTGCGGAGTTGGGGTGACAGGAAGATTTTCTAGAATCAGATAAATGTTGGCAGGAGGGGAGAATAAGGCATATAAAAATGACAAGAAAATAACTCATAAAAATGTTACTCCAAATAGCTCCCAGATAGACTGGGTCACAGGCTAGAGGCTTAGATTCGCCTGGGGTCTCTTTGAACCAAGCGGGGAGACAAAGACAGCAAACGGAACCTCAATAAACCACTTGTCTTTTCCACGTGGTGAGGATGGTTAAGGCTCCCACGAAGCGGTTGGCATTTAAGATTCATTCTGACATGATATGTTAAAAGCACCAAGCAAGAAGAGTTCCACATATAGACAGGTAAAATAACTGCACTCCACTTTGGGAAAAGTAATACACCTTGTAATTTTCCATCCCAAATTCCTCTATCTGGCAGGACTTAGGCACAAGGGCAAATAATACAACATTTTCGTTATTATTTTCTCTTTCCAAAGCGTGAGCAAGAAGAGGCCAGTTCTGGTGTTTGGATCATTTGGAATTTTGTGGAGAACTCCAGTTCCAAGGCTATTCCCAACTGCTGACGCCTTTGGGGACTAGAAAGTGGGTCACTGTATTAAAAAGACCTTTTTTTTTGGTCGGAGGTCATAACAGATGCTTCTGGTACCTAGTCCATATCCCCTAGCCTTTAGCCCTTCTTGGCAAGCCAGCTGTCTTCCAACCATTTCAGCTGTGTTTCTTTGCCATGGGGCTATCTGCGGCCTCTGGGGCCCACTTTGCCCAAGTGACAAACCACAAGTGTCAGGGGATTAACGTTCCCTGGGAGCAGCCCTTAATAAATGGTTCAGAGGAGGTGGTGTCTAAATGCCTCTGCTCCTGGATCCCCTGGGGTCTGAGTAACTGCTGTGCTGTTTCCCAGGGTCCCCAGCAGGTTTAAGCGCCACTTACCCACAGCGGTAGCTCACTTGATAATATGCCCTAACGACTTCCTTCACTATCCCCCCACTCTTTATTGGTGCTTCCTCTGCTTCTAAATAAATGAGGTGCGTCCAAATCCTGGTCTCAGAGTCTGAGAACGGGAAGTACACACTAAGATGGGGTGCTTGTGTCTGGGTCTCAATGCAGGACTCTAAGATTATGTCCTAAATAAGGAAATCATGATGACCTCCTAACTCCCTGGGGCCTCCTAAGCTTCAGAGGTCATCCCTACTTAGCTGAAGCCAAGGAGACCTTCACAGAGAGAATTCACAGAAAGGGGCATTGGAATGGCTTTGGACCGGGGCCTGGGGTGGGGTAGAGGAGATATGGAAGATGCCTGTTAGGGCAGCAGAAAGAACACATTAGATGGGTAGAGCTAGGGGATCGGGTAAACCTGTTGGAAGCAGCAAGGAGGACACGACATTCCAAGTGGGGGACCAGAGCAGATGAGACGGAGGCGAGGAAGGAGGCCTGGGTCGAGCATGCTGCGCACCTCTTTCCTCAACCCTGCTGGGCCACGTCATGGAGCACATGCAAGCGTCTCTCTTGCTTGTGTGTACTCTTAGTGTGTACTCCCCGGTCCCAGACTCTGAGACCAGGATTTGGACGCACCTCGTTTATTTGGAAGCATTTATTTGGACGGATGGTTGTGGGGGGGGGTGAATTCCAGTTTCAAGGCTGGGTAGCTCTGTGAAGAAGGTGGGCACTCACCTACCCACATTCTAGAAGGATACCCCAGTCCAGGAGGAGATGGAAGTCCTCCGATCTGGGCTCCTTCTTGCGTGTGTCATTTTTTCATCTCAGCGTTACCAGAGCTTTCCGCTTCTCCAGAGAAGTCATCGATCTAGCATTTTATGTGAACTCCCCCACTTCTTTGAAAACGTGTCTACTCGAACCTGCTCCTCGGCTGATAAATGGCTATTGGCTGGGAGTAGACCATTCCTGTTCTATCATCGTTCTAGCCCAGGTTTCTATCCACAACAAATGCTCCGTAGCCTCCCATAACCATGCCTCGCAGGGGAGGCGAGTGCTGACTACAAAGCGGATAACAAGGGGGCCAGGTCAGAAGACACGACAGTGCACCCACCGCTCTGTCTAGGAGATTGAGCCTCTTTTTCAAAAATGACACTGATGGGGAAGACCTTTGGTCTGACCGCTTCAGCGAGGAGGCGAATGTGGGTGTCTCTTTCTTGACCTACGGCTAAGGCAGAGTCCAGTACAGAGACGTTGATGACTGGGAAGAGATGCTTGCACGTGACCAGGCAGAGATGAGGGCAGGGCCCCTGTTGCCTCTCCCAGGCCCTCCCAGTGGAGGGAGCGGGGTTCTCTGGTGCACTCTGGCCTTCAGGAGCACCGGAGTTTACCACAGCAGAGTGCCGCCGCTCCCCCAGAGCATACATCTCTGGACACACAAGTTTTGCCTTCCATACTGGAACACAGGAGGATTCCAGTGTCTTTGTAAGAACCTTTCAGCTCCCCAGTTCTTGAAGCCAGAGTGGCTCTTTCCTCAGAACTTCTCCGAGTCTCCCCCACAAGGCTGAGTCTGAGAGCTTGGGAATAAGAGAATCCATCCACTTTATTGTATGGATTTTCAAAGTAGATTTCTTTTCTTTTAAAATATCGTTTTACTGGGGGCTCTTACAGCTCTTGGTCACAATCCACCCACCCATCCATTGTGTCCAGCACATTTGCAGGGTTGTTTTCTGAAGGGAGATGTGAATCGATAGGTTCCGAGTCACTGGAAGTGAACCCTGCGTGTTTTCTCGCTTTGTGCCTGTCTCTGCAAAAGAAGCTCCCCACGGAGCCTTCGTCTTGGGTCTCTGAGATGATGTAGCTGGAAGAGCAGGGGAAAATGGTGATTTGACAAAAGACAGGCTCTGAGCAGGTAATCTAGTTGATGCTTCAGGCCATTTGGACTCTCTGCATCTTGTTTGCCTAGTTTTATGTCAAGGCCAGGAGTGAGGCTCTTGTGAAGAAAATGCAAAGCAAAGTGACCTTCCTTGAGTTATGGCTGCAAAGTGAGAGATGATTCCGCCCCCCACCCCCACCCCCGCAGTCCCAGTTACTCACCGTGTACTCTGGGGGTATCCTGGCTCCAAATCCAAAGGCTGGGAACATTTTGTCACTGAAATCACAATTGAAAATGAAAGAAGAAAGGGCTTCATTTGTCTATCTGATGAGAAAGAAGCAAACGCGCAGCTGCACCACCTCTCTGGAACAAACCGTGTTATGTTAAATGCTGACTCACGCTTCCTGATTATCTTTGCTCATGGGGGATAGCAACAGCCCGGGCAATTAAAATGAAAAGTCACCCCCAAAGTTGATTATGGTCATTAGTTTACAACTTTTTTTTTGGAGATTTGATACCAAGGAATAAAATAAATGGCTCCCTGAGACTTCCCCCACCACAGCTTGCTGTCTGTCTTCTCCAGCAGGTGAGTAGGGCAACTCCTACGGCTGACTGTGTCAGAGTCTACAGGTATTTGATCTCTTAAACTCTTTACAGGAGGAATTACTATTACCACTTACAGGGAGGAATAAATACGATGAGAGGATACAACCCTGACACACTCTTTTCCTGATTTGAAGCCATGCAGTACTCCCTTGTTCTGCTCACACAACTGCTTCTTGATCCATGGACAGGTTCCATAGGAGCACAATTATGTGTTCTGGAATTCCCGTTCTTCTCATGGCTACCCATAGTTTGTTATGATCCCCAGAATCAAATGTATTAGTTTGTTATGATCCACATCATCCACATGGATAACCATAGTTTGTTATGATCCACAGAATCAAATGCCTTGGCATCATTAATAAAACACAAGTACAGTAAACGTCTTTCTGGTATTCTCTGCTTTGAGCCAAGATCCATCTGACATCAGCAGTGGTATCCCCTGTTCCACATGTTCTTCTGAATCTGGCCTGAATGTCCGGCAGCTCCCGGACAATGTACTGCTACAACTGATGTTAGATGATCTTCAGCAAAATTTTAGTTGCATGTGATATCTATGATATTGTTGTATAAGTGAGCATTCTGTTGGGTCACCTTTCTTTAGGATGGGTACAAATATGGATATCTTCCAGTCAGTTGGCCAGGTAGCGCTCTTCCAAATTTCTTCGATTTCATATATGGAAAATAATATAAAACACAAGCAGGAAGCAAACAAACAAGAAAACACAACAATCGCGACCAGACAAAACATCGGAAGATGACAATTGAAAAGAAAGAAGAAAATATTAAAAACTGAACCAACTTTAAAATGGATCAAAGGGAGATCACATGATAAGGTACTGCATTTCAACATAGCTACATTTGCCATAATTGGCTTTACAATATTCTCTGTCTGATAAGAAGGCTATTCACTTCCCTCGACAATGGTCAGGGGAAATTCAACGGAGGTTTAGTCCATGTGTGGATCTGCAAATGGACTTTGGGCTTCCACTGTCATTTCTAGTCTTCGGCACACTGAGTGTTCACAGTATAAGCTCTGATACCATTCCCTTCTTCGGATTTGGATTTCATTATTTACAATCCTTGGATCACATAGGCTAGTGTGGTTATTTCAGGTGGATTTACTTGGTTCCTCACTTAGACGGCTGCTTGTTTTAAAAAAAAACCTTGAAGAACCCAGACACTATTCTTTCTGATAGCCGGGCAGCATCTGGTTTCTTCACCACACTTTGCTATAGCACCCCTATCTTTAGTGATCTCTTCATGAGGGTGAGTATCAAGTAGGGCCATGTCATAAGAACTACTTGTTCTTAGATTAGGGCAAGCCCCAAATCCATTCATATTTCTGTTCTTTATGTATGTCTCTGGTTCATTTAAAGATATCATTATCATTTTATGAGAGAGAACATTATGAATCACCTCCTGGAATATAGGGAATTTTATTGATAATGTCATTCCTTTAGCCAATGGTATAGAATTTGTAACACTGGGCTTATTTCCCCCTTGAGTTCAATGTAATTATTGTTAAGTGCTTTTTTCTCCATGGGAGGTTGCTTGACCAGTTTACCCAACAACGTAAGTGTAATGGCCTTCTCTGAAACATGCGTGATCTCTTCCCTCCATCTTGATTTCAATTTCTAGTGATGTCTGCTTATCACTCTCATAAGAGTGTCTGTTGATTTGGGGTGATCGTAGGATACGGTTGTATAGCAGCAATGGAATGGTCTTCTCCTTCTCCCCACATCTTGAGAAAATGTCCCGAGCTGAAACAAGCCCATTCTTAAGCAGATATTATGCTGTCATGTGGAGGCGGGGTGGGGATTGCAACGAGGCTCAGTGTCTTTTCTCATGTCATCTGCATTTCATTTCCTCTACTGTTAAGAACACCACTGAGATACGATCTTGGCTCCACTCTTACACCTTTCAATTCTTTGCAGAGTTCATGAAGGAGAGAAGGGACTTCTCACAGTCCCTGAACATCTTTTGTAAGGGAGAGGAGGCTTTACGGAACAGCTAAATTAACAAAAGCCATTTAGAAGTCATTAGTAACCAAGGGAGACTTTGACAAATCTCTACCTAAAGAAAGAAATTAGCCCACATTTGGGGTTAGGGGGTTGGTGGTACAACAAACCATTATTTTCAGAGTAGGGGTCTTTGCAATCAAAGTGTACATTTCCCAGAAAACCCCAAGCCCTATCAGTGCCTTATTGTTACATGGAGTGAGGTTTCATGATGCTTTGTATCTAGCATGAGAGAACGTATTGATGCTGATAAATAGAGAATTACTTATAAATGATGAGCCCATATCCCTAAGGACAAATACTTCTGGTTCTTGGGCAATCTTGAAATGCTTTGTCTCAGCCATTTCTCCACCAAGGAGGGGTGGGTGTCAAAGGGATCTGCCAGATGGATTCCAGATGCACTTTCTAGTGACGTCTAGGGGAAGGTTTCCTGTAGGGAGGATAAGTCCGGTTTTTCTAACTCAGAGACAGCTTGGAAGTCAAAACAGAAACAATGCTACTGGAGAGACTCCACACTTTATTTTCTTCTTGACGTGTTTAGGAGAGAACATATCTAATATTCTATCCATTTCTAAGCACCAAACTAGTGTCTCAGGCTTAATGATATTCAATTTTTATCTCCTAAGCCACCCCTGGGGATGTGAAGTTTGTTGGGCCTAAGACACTGTTATATAATTGAGTTTCAAGAGTACGGAAGTGAGAAAATGCCTCACCTACAAGAGGAATAATTAATGAGCTAGGAGGGCATCAATTCTCTGAAGTTAGCTACCACAAAGACTGTAACTAATAAACACATAAAGGAAAACTTCAAATTAAGCACAATAGGTTTTAAAATCCCTTCTCCCCTATAAAAATAAACCAGACAGTGAGGAGTCTTATGCAAGAAGCAAGAGAAGGCAAACTGAACACAAAATAAAGCAGAGCTGTGCTGACACTTCAGAGAACTCCAGGTGAGACCCACCGAGCACTGAGCACTGGAGACATTTAGCAACTTTCTTGGAAACGGATTGGTGGAGCCTACCTATCTGGAAATTTCAGGGGTGTTATCACTGCATTCAGAAGCCCTGGTGGCACAGTGGTTAAGGCAAGTAGGCTAACCTACCAGCTTCTCTGTGGCCGAAAGATGTGGCCACCAGCTTTCCTAAAGATGTACAAGCTTGGAAATCCCTTGGGGCAGCTCCACTCTGTCCTACAGGGTTGGTAAGAGTCAACATTAACTCGACCGCAACAGGTGTGTTCGGAGTCTTATCGCTGCATCGATACAGGGCATAGTTCTTACTATCGGAATAAAATAGCATGCATGCAACAGCAGAGTCACTGATCTTCCAAGGTAACGGGTAAGCTGACCAGAATGACTATGGCCAAATGATCTCTAGATGGACGGTTCAGTTCAACTCCCTGTTAAGGAAACCTTTGAGAGGAGGCAAGAGGGAAATAGAAGTAAAGGCGAAGTCTTCCATCTATAAAAAAAGGAAGCTTAACAGAGCCATTTCATGACATGCCAGAACACTTCATAAAGAGTCCCTGGGTCACTGGTGCACCGCACACATCGGAAGGTTGGAAGCTTTGAATCCACCCTGAGGAGTCGCGGAAGAAGGGCTTGGAAATTCACTTTTCAAAATGCAGCCACTGAAAATCCTAAGGAGCCCTGTTCTACTCTGACACACACAATGGGGTGGCCATGAGTCGCAGCAGATTCTGTGGCATCTTGTTTCAGATATTTTAAAAAGATTGTTCTTAAAAGTGGGGTCCATGAGAATACAAAGCCTGCCCACGGGTAGGAGAGCCTCTTTCGGGTTTTCATTTTTCAGGGCGTCAGTATTCAGTGGCCCAATTTCATACATGCCCTTTGCTGAGATTCATCTTCTGGCCACACCTATGATGGAGCTACCTGATCTCCATTCGCACCTTCTCTTTCACACCTGCCATCTCCCCCATCCATTCTGAATCTTTACTCCCAGGCTGCACTGCTCCAACCTGTGAAAACTCTGCAGCATCCAACAAAGGAGCATTCTACCATGTGCACGAGTCCCTGGAAAACACGCCTCTTTGCAAGTTAGGTAGCTGCCAATGCTTGCTTTCAATGAAAAAGCAAAAGTGCTGACATCAGCTGGAAGGTTATTAAAAATATCCTTTGAGGGCAGATCTTGGGTGATTTCAATTGCTACTTAGAATTGAAAGCCACCTCTTTTCATTTCCACATACCTTTAAAAGTTTTCTTAGTGCTTACATTCATGCCAACGAAAGGCCAACTAGAATTGCTACTTCCATACAGGCTATAAACTAATTGAGGGGAAAAAATCCCCATCTGTTTCATTAAGAGCTAGTTTTCCAATACATATTTATTCTGCGTAGTCAATAATGAAACATTAAGAATCCTACAATACTTGTTCTTGTAACTGATTATATATAATTAATAATTACAATAAAAACTAAGCCCAGAATCTATATATTTAAATATTGTGAACCACAGGGCCACAGAGAACTCTAGACCACGTGGAAGTCTCCATTTGTATTCAGGTTTATTAGAGAAATTGGGACCGAGCCAGTAATAAAAGAATATTGAAGCAAACGGAGTAGGGTCTGTAAGGGAGGTATGCTAGTAAGGAAAGGGAATGGAAATCAGAGTTCATGGAAAAGCAAAGCCATGTA